GCGCGCACTGGCATTCTTTGTGTTTCTCTCTTTAGGGTAAGACACACAGACTTAGCAAAGTTCCTATGCAATAAAGGAGATCCAACTGTACCTTTTCTGCTCAGAGATGGGAGAAGGATCTGGGAGTCTGGCTTGCTCACACACCCCACCCCTGCCCTCGACTCACTCACAGGAAGTGGATCCACCTCTGCGGTCTCTGGCCTCTGATATTTCCAACCCCAAATCCACTCCCTGACCCCTTTGTGCCTGGGTTAACTGGAAGCTGGTCCCCAGTTCCCGTCTTGCAGGATAAGCCATGAACAGAATAAGGATGTGTTGTTGAAGGGAGAGGCCCTGGTATGCGTTCGCCTGTAGGGATGGGCAGGGTATTTTTAAGAACGATGGACTTGAGTAAGGGCCTAACTTACAATTATTTGAAAGCAGCAAGAGAAAGGAAATGCTTCAAAGACATTGTCAGTGGGTGAGGTTGTGGCTTAGTGACAGAGTTCATGCCTTGTATCCGAGCAGCACGGGGTTACATCCTCCAGCACCCGTAGCAATAATGAGACTATTGAAACCAATACCTTGTGTCTAGGTAGAATGTTGGATTTGAACGACTAGTATTACCAAGACAAAGGTTTGATCTAAGCCAGATGTGGTGGCGGTTGCCTAAACCCAATACTTGGGAAGCTTGATGATTTCAAGGCTAACTTGGCCTATCTCAAAATGAGAAAGAGCCAGTCCAGTATGAACTTGCATTTAGGAGGAAGCTTGTGCAATAAACAAGAATGAATTGGCATTAGTCCAATCCAAGAAAGGATTGGGTGTGTGTTGGGAGGGGTAGCACAACACTAACCAATCCTTAGTTCATGGAGGACCTATGTCAGTCACCCGTAGGTATCCAGCAACCATAAAACACTTCAGTCTGAGACTTGGGCGATCCCACACCAAGTCACCATTCACCACACTCTCACAAGGGGACCTCAGGCAGACTGGTCAAAGGACCCAGGTAGAAATAACTTACTGTGCATCTCAAAGACATGTGTCATTCCGTCACTCTGTCTATGGCCCTTCAGCGTCAGCCCGGGAGAAAACCTGCACAGCCATTCCCTACCACTAGGGGGCTCTGAACCTGGGGGGGGATGCAAATACAAGAGGCCACAGCAGACCCTTTTATAGATGACCCATTTAAATAAACGACTAGAAGAAAGGACTGGGGTTCTCACCTTTTAAATGAGGGCATGCATCAGTTACTCACAGGAAGGAAAAAATTCTTAAGACATATTAAGATGGGGGGGGTGTTTTATTTGTTTGCGTGTTTGTATGAAACCGGCTCCCCAGTGTTCAGATTACAGATGTGCACCACCACACCCACTGGACCTCAAACACATGAGAATTTGAAACTTTATTAACTTTATTAATAAATAAAGGAGCAATTGTCCCCGCTTGTAACTATCCTGAACCCCATCCTGTTTCTCTTTGAACTTACCTGCATGGTGAGGGGTAAGTCTCTACAGGACAGATTTCCATCTAATATCGGCTGTTCTCTTCACATCCACAGTTCCATACGTACTGAAGAGCTGTGCTGAATTTATAGAGACTCACGGCATTGTGGATGGGATCTACCGTCTCTCGGGCGTCACCTCAAACATCCAGCGGCTAAGGTAAGCCAACAGAAGAGCCCAGACTCCCCCAGTGAGCCTGCCTTTGTTGGGTCCCTGCTGGCACTTGTTGGGAGTCCCAAGAAACGGAAAGATGGCCTCCGTGAGGCATGGCTGCCTGGCAGTTCTAACACTAACTAATCAGGGGGCTCCCAGCCTGGTGAAACGCTTTCCAATGAAAGCGCCTTTTTCTTTGTCTTGGGTAGGGTTTGTGCTTCTCTGGTGGATTGGATTTGCCTCATGTGATCTAAATGACAAGTTAGGAAACCTGTTCTCTCTAAAGCCCAGTTAGACTGGGGACCCTCACACCGTACTCAGAACTCTAAGGCCCTTAGGGGAGATTTTCTTTGGATACACTTTTAATATTTCAGGTGGTTGTGAAATTAGAAGTAATTGTACATGTCTCTAATAAATGCTAACGTTTTGAAGTTACTTGAGGCCAGTGATATGGCACCACGAGTAAAGATGCTTGCCGGGCAAGTCCTGTGATCTGAGTTCCATCCCTGGAGCCTACATAAGTAGAGAGACTCCATGAAATCATCCTCTGATCTTCATACACAACCAATAGCAAGTGTGCCCTCTACCTCCCCCGTACAACAGTAATTTTTTTAAATGGATGATCATAAGAACCTTTAAGCTAAAAAATAGAGAGAGAGACTGTATATAGAACATATGAAATATATTGAAATATATATTTTTCCTGTGATTAATTTAATAGACATTATTTTGCTCATTATTTATAACACCAAAAGAATGTTTAGTGGTTTTTAAAATATATTTATTATATGCTTGTTTAGTATAAATATTTTAAAATAATAAAAATATATATTTTAAATTTTTTTTGAGATAGGATCTTAGTCTGTAGCCCAGGCTGGAACTCAGTGCAATCCTCCTGTTTCTGTAGAACACTCCTATTGCAAAGTCAATACGCAAGTTGATTTAGGTCCTTAAGCCTTGAGTTTGAGTATCCAGATGAAGAAATTTGTGACATGCCTGTGGCGGTCTGTGATGAGACATGACACTCTCCCCACCCTTGCCCACCTCATCTCACCCCTCTTTCTGGTTTTGGGTATCACTGGTTTAAAAAAAAGAGTTTTAATTTTGAGTAAGGTTTAGGGGAAGCTGAAATCTCAGCAGGCTCTTCTGGCAAACTTTTCATACCCTCCCAGTGCCTGTGACCAAGGCACAGATACAGTGCCATGGGTACGTCTGTTCTCAAATGAGTTTTCTGACTTCAGGTCACAGCGTACTTCCATGCAAGCTTCAGCCTCCGAAAGTGGTGCCTCTCCAACCTCCTGGTGCCCGGAGTAGAAGGGAGGTCAAGAGTACAGGCAGATCAGCCGTGTAGGCTCTTTTTACCCCGTGCCTCCGAGCGGCTGCTGACATCGAGCGCCTGTTCCCTGGGATTGTTATGTCTCCGTCTGTGTTGTTTCAGGCAAGAGTTCGGCTCAGATCAATGTCCAGATCTGACAAGGGAAGTGTACCTCCAAGACATCCACTGTGTGGGCTCCCTGTGCAAGCTGTACTTCAGGGAGCTGCCCAACCCCCTCCTGACCTACGAGCTCTATGAGAAATTCACGGTGAGTGTTTGGATTTTCATTGTGGTTAGCGGGTGGGATGCATGGACCGGCCAAGGGCAGTTTGAACACTGAAATAACAATAATAAAATTCACCAGCTGGTTGGCATTATCTCAGCATCGTGGTGGAAGTAAAGATGGCGAGGGGAGGAGGGCAGTTTGCTAGCTCGCTCTTTCTTGCGTTTTCAGAATGGTGCTGTTTGTTTTAAGAGCTGGCTTAAATTATTTCTTTGTTTATTCAACTGAATGTGCCCCATTGTACCGGGAGGAAACTGAGAACCAAAGAAGTAAAGTGGCTGGCCCAAGGTCACACAACAGAGGCAGGGCAGGAATCTGAGCCCCTCCCCCCCCAGCGCTTGCTATAAGCCAAGATGGTTCCTTTTCAAAAGAGGGTTCCTTCTGGTTTTGTTGGGGGATCGAGGACAAAGACCAGTAGGGAGAAAAGGGAGAGAGAACCCCCCAAACATCAAAAGACAGGTCAGAAAGATAAGAAGAGAAGGAACAGAAAAGCACCTGGACCAGGGGGAGAGAGGATGGGCTGGCCAGTGGGCCTCTGATAGCTACACCCAAGAACAGAATAGCTACACCCAAGCAGCATGGCCATCAATGAGGCGCCCATGGGTGAGCAGAAAAGAGAATAATAGCCCCAAACACATGCATAAAGCAAACAGTAAAGTCAGGGAGCCAGGCGCAGGGGAGACAAAGCCTGGATGTTTTCGCTCACATTCTGATGCGAGCTCATGATGGTGTGTGTGTGTGTGTGTGTGTGTGTGTGTGTGTGTGTGTGTGTGTGTGTGTGCCAGTGGGTGTGTAAGTGTGGGTACAAGCTAGGACACTAGAGTGTAGACCCAGAAAGGGGGAAAGGGTGTGTAGAAAATGGGGGAGGTCCAGAGGACACATGTAACATGAATGTAGAAGGAGACTTTGGTGGGTGGAAGGGGACAAGAGGAACTCAGACAGAGACCAGAATGGAGGGCAGACTCAACAAGAACGGATTTTGTTCTGACAATGTTATAGTGAGAGCTAATACCAAGCATGTCAATTAAAATTTTTAACAAATAAAAAGACTAAAATAGGGCGTAACACATAGATACATAGATAGATTATAGAATAGGTGGTTTAATGGAAAAGCAAAAGGGGAGAGGGATGGAAGTTGCTAAGATAATTGACCACAGAACTAAGTCTGGAGAGGAAAGAAATTAGAACAACTCAGAGGGTTACTGAGGAAGGTACACTGAGCACTTACTTGTCCCCACAAGGCCAGTGGAGTGTGAGAGGGCAGGAGCCAGGGGGACCGCTCGAATTAGCATCAGAGATAGAAAGGAAACAGATCTGGGCTCTAGTGGTGCGACAGGATGTTTCCCCATATCCCTTAATAAACTTGGGACCACGTGAAAAGTTCCTTCATTCAAAGTCACACACAAATAAATGGATAATTATTCTTTTTTGGAGGAGTAGATTTTTTTTTCAAGACAGATTTCTCTGTGTAGCCCTAGCTGTCCTAGAACCCACTTTGTAGACCAGGCTGGCTTCGAACTCAAAGATTCACCTGCTTCTGTCTCTCAAGTGAGGGGATTAAAGGCATGAGCCACCACTGCCTAGTAAGAAAAATTATTCTTAAGAATTGGGCTTGGAACCTCACCATGGATTTAAGTGTTTTCACTGATACAGGAACAAGGTTACAGTAATAATTGAAAAGTTGGGAAAAAACAACATAAATGTATATTAAGGAAGACTTGGGAAGATCGGAGAGATGGTTCAGTCATTAAAATTCACCTGTAATTCCATTTCTCTCTGGCCTCCTTGGGTATCCAGCATTCATGTGGTGCACATCAATTCACGAAGGCACAATTACATACATATAAATAAATCTTAAAAGAAAAGCAGGCTCACAATGGTAAAGTGGTTCAGCTGCCCACCCTCAAGGTCAGTCTCTGAGACCAACACAGTAGAGGGAGAGAGCCGATGCCCACAACTTGTCCTGTGACATGCACACACGTGCCATGGCACACGTGCACACACACACACACACACACACACACACACACACACACCGCAAGTAATATTGTAAGAAAAAGTAATTTTTTAAAAGGATGGAAATTCAAGGGTGGTATTTATCTTAATGGTATGTAGTATTTACTCTTTTATATACTAATTTTCATAACCTCTCCACAGAATACATGATTGTTAGTGAAATAACAATAGCCCAAAGCACACAAAAACTTAATTATAAATGCTGGCAACTCCACCGACTGGTAGCTGCTGGTGTAGAGCTAGGGTAGGTCTTGATAAGAAACTTCAGAAGCCATTTCTTCCTATTTTGTCAACAGCCTTGGGTCAACTCCTCCATCCCCACTCCTTCCCTGACAGTGTTCATCTTTTGGTCCTTTCACAGGGACTGGGAGAATAGAAAAAACAGGGGAAAAAGAAAACCAAAAAGCCAGAAGGCAGCATTTGGTCAGCTTTTCATCTGATCGAAGGAAATGACTTGAATTTAAACAGTTTATGGACACTAAAAAGTCAAAGGGGAATGTGTTGTTTTGGTTACTAATCTCTGCAGAGGTAGGAGCTCCTGATACTAATGATGCTGCAGATTTGTCCTTTGGTGGGTTTCTTTGACCGCAGTAATGGAGGAGGGGACGTTATAAGCTCCCCTTTGGAAATGTGACGAAAATTACAGTCTTATTACGCTGTCACAATTTGTTCAGCTTACTTGCATGGCTGGAGCCAAATACTACCTCACTGGATTAATGCGAGGATTTAAGATATCAATGGGAGAGTAATGTTAATAATGCTAACAGCTGCCGTGTAACTACGTGGTTACTCGGTTAGGATCTCTCTTAGTTCCTTAGGAAGCTGGTCTTACTGTCGCTCACTCACAGAAGAGTACTGCTCATAGGTGGTGATAAAGACTCAAGTTCAGCTCAACTCCCACACCCCTCAGATACAGTGTGGGATCTGGAAAGTCTCAGCTACTAAGTAGCATAGCAGGAGACCCAATGAAGGACAAAGTTCACAAGCCGTGCTGAGAGCCAGCTAACTACCGGGCAAAACGCCTGCCTTCTTACCATTTGCTGGTCTCAGAGTGCTGAAGAATGTCCGCACAACAAAAGCAGAGGGAAAGATAACAAAAGCCAAATTTGACAAGCTGAACCACATATGCGTTATCTTTCCTATGCTAAAAAATACGCCGATAACATTAAAACGCAAATATTAATTATAAAAACTATTTTAGGTTGCCAGAGAAATGGAGTACACACACACACACACACACACACACACACACACACACACACACTGATTTTCTTCCCTTGGGCTAGAGAAATGACTTAGTAGTTCAGAGAACTGGCTGCTCTTCCAGGGGACCCACATGGTTGGTGGTTCACAAGCATCTGTAACCCCAGTTTCAGGGGATTCGACACACTGTATACATAGTCTTCAGCAGGGCATGGTGGTGCACCCCTGTAACCTCAGCACTGGGATATGAAGAAAAAGGGTTGAGAATTCAGGGTCAGCTGCAGCCGTATGCCAAGTGGGAGGCCAGTCAGGGCTACGTGAGACCATCTGTTAAAAATACTCCATTCGGGCTGGAGAAATGGCTCAGTGGTTAAGAGCACTGCCTGTTCCGTTAGAGGTCCTGAGTTCAATTCTCAGCAACCACATGGTGGCTCACATGACACCCTCTGCTGTCGTGCTGGTATATATGGAAATAGAGCACTCATATTCATAAATATTTAAGAATTCTTAATAAATGACAAACAGTAATATTCCTTAATTGTAGAGAACTGTTACAATAAAAAGAAAAACACACCATATCTCACTTAATAAATGAGTAAAAAATTTCAACAGACAATTCAGAAAAACGTAATTATGTAAAAACTACTAGAAAAATATATTTGCATGTTAGTGTGTGTGTGTGTGTGTGTGTGTGTGTGTGTGTGTGTGTGTGTAACAGTCCTGGCTGTCCTGGAACTCTCTGTGTAGACCAGGCTGGCCTCAAACTCACAGAGATCTGCCTGCCTCTGCCTCTGAGTCCTGGAATTAAAGGCACGCGCCACCACTGCCGCCCAGCTTGTATGTTAATTTTTACAGATTTGTTTGTTTAAATTTACATGTACATGTGTGTCCCTCCATGAGTTTCTGTGCACCATACACATGTGGGTGCTCAAGAGGGCACTGGAGCCCTGGAACTGGAGTCGCAGGTGGCTGTGAGCTTTTTGGGGGTGCTGGGAAACAAGCCTGAGTTCTCCGCAAAACTAGCATGTGCTCTAATTGATGATCACACGCTTGAGAAGAAATTTCAACATTACATTTCATGCTGGCAAGCCTGTGAGAAAACCCACTTTTTATAATCTTCTACTGGAAATGTGAATTAGGTGGGCACCCCGGGAAGTTATTTGAAATTATTTTTTTTAATTTATTTATTGAAGATTTCTGTCTCTTTCCCGCCACTGCCTCCCATTTCCCTCCTCCTCCCCCGTTATTTGAAATTATGATCAAGGTTATAAACTTGTTGTGCTCTTTAATCCAGTAACTCTAGGACCCAATTTGAGAATAATAATTGAAAGTTAACTCGAATAATTGGTATACAACTATATTCACTGTGGTATTATACATAGCATCCCAATTTTGGAGAATAGCTACATGGCCACCATCGAAGACAAATAAATGGCAAAGCTATCGTTTCAGAACTGTGTAGGCAGGAAGACTGCTCTGAAGACTGTTTACTGGCCACGGTGTGAAATTAAATAGGAAGAAAGCAGTCTGTGAGGTTGCATAGGAAGGCAAGACGGTGTTCATATTGGGGCTGGAGGATGCGGGGCTGCGGGGCTTCTCTTCTGCTTCTTGGGTAAGTGGGTTGATAGAGATCCCATCTAAGGAATAAATAATAAAAAAAAAAAGTTTTTTTTTCTGCAACGTTCAAGTTATTCAGGTTGACTCCTGTAACAGAATTACCACAAACTGACTGTCCTAGTTTTATTTCCTGTTGCTATGACAAAAAA